GAAAGAGTCCACAAAATCTAATGATCCTGAAGGAGGATGGTGCATCCAAAATGTTTGAGAAATAATACTCCAAGATGTATTGAAATAATGGATTTTTTGTCTGTCATTGTGGGTTAAGATTGATGCAAGGTCTTTTGTGGGACATTTTTGAAGCTATTCCAGTTTTAATATGTAAATTCTAAACTTTCTCTGCCAGATCATTCCCATGGATCAAATAGTTAACTCTTTGGACCTGAAAACTTTTTAGTTTAATTGCTGTTTCAGCAGTCCCACTTGCCCTCACCAGCCTACCAAAAGGGACTGCAGCAGGAAAAATCTCTAGTCCTTGGAAAAGAATTAATTCAGTGGTAACGCTGATCTCCAAGGCATCCAGTTCAGAAATACTTAAATGGAGTTCCATGTATTCTTCTGTTCAGTGTGCCTGCATATAGTCCACTGAATGGCTGCTGTTGAGCTGGAGAGGTACATGAGCTGATTTACTTGCAGGTACACAGACTGACTTGAACTGAACAGTTGAGGTCTCTCTAAATTGCTGTGGTGCAAAAATGCCATGTCTATGCACTGTACATGCAGGCCATAATCTGAAAGCTCTCTTTTCAACCAGGAGGGCCTGAAGATGTTTAATTCTTTATGGAATGAAAGCTGAACTCATACAGCACAAGGTAGTAGTTACAGCAATGCTCTCAGTCTGTTCAGCTACTACCAGGAGAGACCATTTGACTGCTTTTGCCATGTAGCAGTTCTTACTGAGCTACTAATTTACTGGTGAAGTGGTGATAAATATATTTTTTAGATAAAATTGTGACCTATTTTAAAATTTTGATTTTTCCTTTTTTCTAGTTACACAGCTTTTCTGTTTTTGTGGAAATAAGCTGGAGAGTTGACTTTGGCAATATGACCCAAATATGGAAAAGATATGAGACATCCTTGTACGATTTGAGATAATCCTACAGGATCGTGCTTCCACTTGTACTAGATTGTATTACAGTTTCTAACCCCTTGGGACCTCCAGGTGTCCTGGGAAGGTGTACCTACACTGGCATCCTGTGAGATATCGCAGTCATTCAGACTCTCACCAATACACTGTAATTTCACCTCTGAATGTGTCTGACATGGAAAGAGTTTGAGGGAAAAATTTTACCTTCAGATAGCTGGTTAACTTGTGGTTTTCTGTGGTAGACTGAATATCATTTCTTCCTATTGCACTCAGTGTTTTAACAACCTTGCTGAGCCAAAACATGAACCAAAATATGCATTTGTCAAAGATGCACAAACCCCAACTGATTTCCAGCATCTTCCAGCAAACTCTTCTGGAAGATAGACTTACCTGTAAGTCTGGACTGTGTATTAGCAGGGACTGTTGAAGTGTGAAGTTACCCAATAGGAGCCTCAGACTTCAGCAAAATAATTTTTTTCAGAAATTAAGCCCATATCATTAGTATTTAAATAGTTAAGCCCAGGTATTCCAGACTGTAACACAAGGGAAATTCTTTACCTGTGTCCTCTAACCATCTAGTAGCCAGTCAGGACCACCAGAGACTCATCAACCTTTTGTAAATCTAGATCACTGTTATGTTTGAAAATTATTTTCCTTATGTGACATAAACCATAAACTCCTATTAGTTACCACTAGTCTAGTCTCTAGGAACCCCTTTCCTCTTATCTACCTATTCATGCAGGTAAAGTGAAGGGCTGTTTTCTTCCTCAAAGTGGGGAAGAGCAAATCCATCTACCCAGTTTGGCTTTCTCTCGGTGCTCCTGCCAATGTGAGCAATGTACAGCAGCATTCTGGGCTTAACAAGTGCAAATAGGGTCTACGTCACAAAATTCTTTTGGCTTACAATGAAAATTAATTCTACAAGCTACTCAGCAAGCCACAAAGTGTACTTGTTATAGAAGTGCAAAGTATCAGAAAGAAAATAACCAGTGTTTTATTAGGAAGTGGTTCAAGAATAGCTATGGATACAGTGTCACAGATGAAAATTTAAAGGATAAGATATTTGTTTCTTTGAAAGAGGGATTCTTTAAGTTTTTTAGGTTTTTTACCCAGTTTTGCTACCAGTTTTATTCTTATTTTTACAGATTTCTGTCTTCTTGGTTTTAGTGGTTGTAAAGTCTTTCACCTGTCTAGTTTTGTGTGTGTGTCTGTCTCCCTCTCTTCCTGTAAATACTGGCAGTCTTTCACTGGCCTGGCTACAGAATAGTCACATTAACTCTAATGAGCAATGGAAGAATTTAGCAGTATCACTGTTTACAGGAGATGGTTTACTAACATTCAAAAAGAGGAAAATTGTGTGAGTTAATAGCTGTTGCTCTAAAGATGGACTTGCAGAATTTTAACAAGAACATTTTAAGCATATATTTTATTATGTTTGAGATAAGTAACATCTAACACAGCTCTGCTTCTAAAACATAGTAGTAACTAGCTAAAGGATGAGTTTTCCTAGGTGGTATGCATTATTCTTATGTACAAACTGCAAAAAAAAGTAACACAATGGTGGGGGCTTTGCTTGATAAGCGTAAAATTGAATGGCTCATCACTAGCTTATGAAAGGCCAACATTTTGGAAAAGTTTCTTCTGTTAAACTCTTGGGGTTTTCTGCAGTATAAGCATAATGCTACAGTGTCAAGATTAATATCTAG